TTTATAAAAAATTCTACAATTGGACATAATATTTCCAATAAAAAATTAAATGATACAGATAAAATGAAATTAGCTAAAGAACTTCATAAACCAGTTAGAAAAAAATTTCCTAAACGAAGAATTTTTAATAAAGATATTGATGATTTATGGGCTGCTGATTTAGTTATAATGAGAAAATATTCTGATGAAAATGAGGGTTATTCATATATATTAACTGTTATAGATACATTTTCAAAATTTTCTTGGGCTTTAGAACTCAAAAAGAAAGATGGAATTAGTGTTTCAGAAGCATTTCAAAAAATAATAAAACAAGCTATATCACAAAATCATCAAGCACCAAATTTACTTCACACAGATAAAGGTTTAGAATTTGAAAATAAACATTTTAAAAAAGTTTTGCAAGAATATGAAATTAAAATGTATCACACCCAAAATGAAGAAAAATCATCAATTATTGAAAGATTTAATAGGACATTAAACAAGAAAATGAGATTAAAATTTGAAGTTACAAATTCAAAAAAATGGATTAAAATTTTACAAAAATTAATATATGAATATAATTTCGAAGACATACATCGATCTATTGGTATGAGACCTTGTGAAGTAAATAAATCTAACGAAGATGTTGTTTTTCACAAATTATTTTCTACAAAAGACAACCCTAAACCAAAAATTAAATTTAGTGTAGGTGATAGAGTAAGAATACCAGCTTATAAAAAAACATTTGATAATAAATTTAATAAAAATTGGACTGATGAAATATTTATAGTTAATGAAATTTTAAACACAATTCCTATTACCTATAAAATTATAGATTTAAACAATGGAGAGATTATAGGGAGTTTTTATAACGAAGAGTTACAAAAATCAGAATTTTAATAATATGACCTAAGTTAAAGGAAGTGATATCTATATAAACCTGCTTCTATTATTTAAATAGAATTTTAAATAAAAATTATTTTTATTGAAAAATGAATGTAAAAAAAATAATAAAGAATATAATAAAGAATGGATGGATTAAATAAAATTGAATCTTTAATTAAAGAAATTGATACTTACAATAAAATGGATGTATTAAATAAAAAAATATATCCTGCTAAAACTTGTGATAAATGTAATTTAACAATTGGTTACAAAAGTTGGGCTTCACATTTAAAATCTATTCGTCATCAAAAAAATGATATATATCAAACAGTTTTACCTTGTAGACTTAATACAAAATATAATGGTGTACCAATTAATCAATATAGACTAAAAAATTTTAATTTTTTGAAATTTATGCGAAAAGAAATAAAAAAAAGTATACAAAAAAATAAATGTTATGTAAAATTTTGTGCTTTTGAATACTATGAAAATTCTAAGAGTATTAAATATAATCTAAATGAAATTCCGATTGAAGGAAATATTTTTATTATTAGTCAAGGAGATGTTGATTTTGGAAATGGAAATCCTTATATTTCTAAACTATTACATTCACCAACTTGGTTAGAACTTTGTCATATAGCCAATGATCAAATTATTGCAACAAGTGATTATAATCACTATTATCTAGACAATATTAAGATTGTTCAAGATTTAGGAAATATTAAAATGTGTGAATTTAGTATGGGATCTAATATTATTTAAATATTATTTTTAATAAAAATTATTTTTATTAAAATATTGAATGTAAAAAAAAAATAATATTCTCTATAATAAAGAATGGAAAATAAAAAAATTGAAATCAATTTTAATAGAAATGTTAACAATAATCAAATGGATAACAAAACTTGTGATAAATGTAACTTAACAGTTAGTTACAAAAATTGGTCTAGACATTTGAAATCTATTCGTCATCAAAACAATGATCCAGATCAAACAATTATACCTCGATTTAGACGAACATACAGAGGTACAACAACAACAAATGTAAGAACAAGACAAGAGAGAATACCAAAAATAGATAAAACTTGTGATATTTGTAAGCTAACAGTTAAATACAACAGTTGGTCTAAACATGTGCAATCTATTCGACATCAAAACAATGGTATAAGACCAAGAATATCAAGAGAGATAATACCCAAACCACATAGAGTTTTCAATTTTAGTGAAGAAATGTTCGAGTTTGTTGAAAACAACACTATTCGACCTATTTTAAAAAATGAAGAAACAGCATTTCGTGATAGAATAAAAACTTATATTATTAAAAATAATATGGGTATTAAAGATATACAACCATTTTTAAATCGTTTAGATAATCCAGTAATAGGACGACTTAAACACGAATTAAAAAAAACAAATTTAAAAGTTAATATTATGTTTCTTGCTATATATAAGAGAGGTAATAATGAAGAAAATATGGAATATGAGGAAAAAAATTTTAAAACACAAAATAAAATTTTAACAAAAAATTCTAACTTAAATGAATTTTATACAAAAGCAAAAATAAAAATTGTAAAAGAAGAAGACGATTTTATAATGAAAAATTCACAATGGAAACTTCATCAAATTTTAAGTTTGGGAATAAATATAAATAAATATGTTCCTTTTAAGGGTTCTTCATATATTCCATTACCTAAACACATTGGAGATAAACATGCTATTATAAATGTTAAAAATGAAGATGATAAATGTTTTCTTTGGGCAATACTCTCTGCTTTACACCCTGTTGAAAAAGATGGACAAAGAGTAACTAAATATATTCCTTTTAAAAATGAATTTGATAAAGAATTTAAAGATATTGAATTTCCGGTAAAAATCACAGACGTTCCGAAATTTGTTAAAAGAACAAAAGATATTTCTATTAATATTTATTGTTTAGATAAAAATGTAATTGTACCTTTACAAGTAAGTAATATCGAAAAAACTAATCATATAGATTTATTATATTTAACAGTGGATGATAATATGAATAAAGGACATTATTGTTGGATTAAAGATTTATGGAAACTAGTAGGAAGTCAAGTTACAAAAGATGGTCATAAAAGATTTTTGTGTAAAATGTGTTTAAATAGTTTTGATACAGAAAATAAGTTAAATAATCATAAACATTATTGTGTTAATAATAAAGCTGCTAAAATAGTTCTACCAGAACCTTATGACAAAACTTTAGAATTTCAAAATTATAATCATTCCTTAAGAGTACCTTTTGTGGTTTTTGCTGACTATGAATGTACTCTTAAACCAATATATACTTGTCAACCAAATGATACAGAGTCTTTTACTAATTGTTATCAGAAACATATACCTAATAATTTTTGTTATTATATTAAATATAGTAATGGTGATTATAAACCTCCTGTAACATATTCTGGTCCAAACGTAGCTCAAGTATTTTATGAATGTATGAAAAATGAAGAAATACTTATTTCTAAAATATATGATAAAATAGTTCCTATGAAAACATTGAATGTAGAACAATTAAATAATTATTATTATAAATCTGATAAATGTCATATTTGTGAAAGATATTTATCAGATTTACCTCCAATGTTAGAGAAAAAAATTAAAATAATTAAAAACGTTATTAAGCATTATAAAAATACTGATGATGTTAAAACATTTAAATTGTATGAAGATAAACTTAAAATAATTAAAAACACTATTGAACATTATGAAAATATTGATGATGTTAAAAAATTTAAATTGAATGAAGATAAACTTAAAATAATTAATATCGTTATTGAACATTATGAAAATATTGATGATGTTAAAAAATTAAAATTGTATGACGCTATTGAATATTATGTTAAAAAATTAAAATTGTATGAAGAAAAAAATAAAATTAAAAATGCTATTGAATATTATGAAAATATTGATGTTGTTAAAAATTTTAAATTGTATGAAGATGACCTTAAAATAATTAAAAACAATATTAAACATTATGAAAATATTGATGATGTTAAAAATTTTAAATTGAATGAAGATAAACTTAAAAAAGAATTAGAAAATAAAAATAAAAATATGCGAAAAGTTCGGGATCATGACCATTTAACTGGAGAATATAGAGGAGCAGCACATTCTATCTGTAATCTTAACTACCAAAATCCACGTTTTATTCCAATTGCTTTTCATAATCTTTCAGGTTATGATGCTCATCTATTTATAAAAGAATTTGGGAATGATAATGAAAAAATAAAATTAATCCCAAATAATGAGGAAAAATATATTTCTTTTTCAAAAATGATGTCACGTGAAGTAAATAGGAAAGGTAAAGACATAAAAATATGTACAGAATTAAGATTTATTGATTCATTCAAATTTTTACCTAGTTCTTTAGAAAAGTTAACAAATAATTTAAGAAATGATTCAAAATTAAATTTAAAAAATAAATTTAAAGAACTTAGTAAATATTTTCCTGAAGAACATTTAGATTTAGTTACTAGAAAGTTAGCATATCCCTATGAGTATATGGATTGTGAAGAAAAATTTAATGAAACATGTTTACCTCCTATTGAAAAATTTTATAGTTCTCTCACAGATAAAAATATAACTAAAGAGGAATATGAAAACTCACAGAAAATTTGGAAAGTGTTTAATATACAAAATATGCGTGAATTCACTAGTTTATATAATAAGATCGATGTTTTATTATTAACAGATATAATAGAAAATTTTAGAGATATTTCTTTAAAAAATTATAAATTAGATCCTATGTGGTATTACACAACACCAGGATTTGCGTGGGATTGCATCAGTGGCGGCTATCCTTAAAAATATAGGTGTAGCGAAACCTTAAAAACAACCACCCACCCACCCACCCATCATGTTACTTCATGACTATTTTTGCCATAAGAGCCTTGGAATTTTCAAATATTGTATACCTACAAAAAACTATATGGCAATACCTTACATAGTCTTAACATTTTTTATGTGATGATCTTCACCCAATATATAAAATTACATTCAATTAAACTTTAATATAATGATATCATTATGTAATTTATGTATGATTGTATATTATTCTTTGTCAAATTACAAACAGGTATAACATTGTAAATTGTAATATTAAAAATTAATTATTAAATTAAATATTTTGTTAATGTAATGCTATTGGCTGCAAACTTGTGGAGAATTTCTTCATGATCCATTTCATCAACAATATCTTGTTCACAACTTATGACCATAAGGTCTTCCAATCTAGCTTGAGACATAGTCGTGCGAAGTCTAGATTTTATGATTTTCAATTTGGAAAATGACCTTTCTGTAGAAGCACTAGATAATGGAATTGTTGATTCATAGATGATTCATCTAGTGATGGAAATGTATTTCCCAAACCACCATTTTGGAACACTTTGAAAATAGTTTTCAAGCTACCGATATTTATTGGATTTATTTGCTTGCGCTTAGGTAACTCAAATTCCTGTTCTTGATCAGTCTCCTCTTCAAATGAACTAATGCTTTCTGTATCACTTTTGTCAGAAACGTGAAAATGTTCAGGTAGAATAGTTGTTTTCTCAAATAATTCATACACATTACAAAATTTAAGGAACTCTGCTTTTAATGTTTCTTGATCAACAAACGTTCCGTAAACTTTGCAAAACACTGCAAATGAATCATCGGGTAAAGACTTATGGTTTTTTTAATTTCAATAATTCGCTTCTTACTGAAAAGTGCCAAATCTTTCATAACTCCAATTGTGGTATCATTAAAATACTGATTAAGATTACTAAGTATTATATCTAAGGAACCTAAGACAGTTTCTACTTTAAATTTCTCAATGGGGTCTTTGATACATTCATCAACATTTTCTTCATTCGACATTTTTTTCTTTCTTCTTATGCGGGTGGTTTTAAATTCAGAAAATTCAAAACCATCATTTTCTTTTATGAAAATATTGACTTCCTTGATTAAGTATTCCATAATAGAATCATTTTTTCTGAGTTCTTGTATTAAATTTTTAGCATCATTTATAGAATTAACTCCTGCTAAAATATCTAAATCTCTAGTTTGTAATAAGGTACTTAGAGGTGACAATACATTGAATATCTTTTGGAACCACATTGCAGTCATTATAAATCGTTTAGACAAAAGATAATTTAATAGGCATCCAGCCATATGACCAACACATTGATCCTCGCGGCCTTCAGTATTTCTTGAATATTCCAGTGTATCAATCACAGAGCCAAACGTTTCTAAAATAGCTTGAAGAGCTTGATCTTGAGAAGTCCATCTAGTTGTGGAAACTCTTTTCAATCGACGTCCTCTTTGTCCTGTCGAATATTCATTTTGTACTTTTTCATAGTAAGCAACTCGTTTCTTACTACCACAAATAAAATTATACAATGTCTCCATATTTCCGAATAAATCTACAGCGTCCAAACTACTACTTACTGCTTTAACTACTATTAAATTTAGTCTATGAGCAGTGCACCAAATATAAGTGGCTGATGGACATTTTTCTTTAATTAGAGCTTGAAGTCCACTGTTCTGTCCTCTCATATTCTGAGCGCCATCGTATGATTGGCCAACCATAAAATTTACCCAATCGAGGGACAATTCATTACAAATATTTTGGAATACGTCAAAAATCTGAACACTAGTAGTAATTGCTGATTCTTTAAGTGCCAAAAGCCGTTCACATATATTTCCATTATTGTTAATATACCTTACGATAAATGATATTTGTTCCTTTCTTGACAAGTCAAAAGTTAAATCCATGGAAATGCTGAAAAATCTGGACTCTTTAATTTCTAATTTAATGATTTCTTTAACTTAAGATGCACAGCATGAAATTAATTGATTTTGTCTCAGTTTTGACAAAAAATTCACCTCAGGTTTTTTAGAAGTTTCAAGTTTAGAAATATAAGATGCCAAACAAGGTGAGTATTTACTTAACACTTTAGCAAAATTGACAAAATTTCCATGATTTTTTTCCATTTTTTTCTATTTTTTTTAAATTTTCCCGGTGGCCTCGAAAAGCTAGGCAATTTTTTGCAAGAACAAGTGTTATGTTTACTAAACATCTTAATACTTCCCGGTTTTCTGATTTTTCTTGGTTGACTTTTTCTTGAAGTAATGGCAGTACTGGTAGAGAAGTCTTTCTGAGTTTATATTTTAATGTTGCATTAATGTGAGCTTCTGAAGATTCGTGAAGTTGAATACTCAATACTGCTCTCGACCATGTCGAAAAACCATATTTTGTCCATGCTTTCTGTGACTGAGTACTATCACTATGTTATAAATATTTACATTCTTCAACTATTTCAACAGAATATGATTCCTCAGGCAAATTACTCATCTGGCCAATGATATCTGCTTTGACTGGAAATAAATAAGGATATATAAAATGTATCACACACAAAAAATAAAATAATACATTTTTTTTATGGTACTTGAACCCTGTGACGCAATTCCATGTTTTGGCTGAAAAAAACTTGTCAAATCGGAACAAATTTTATTATTTTTTAATTTAGCCACTTTACAAAAAGACAAATGACGATTCCAATTTGTCAAGTTTAATCCTATTCTTTTCTTGCCACACACACAATTAGATTTGGTAGTTGACATAATGAATAATGATTGTCGAATTTAAATTATTCACAATTTACATTTCACAGAACACAGATAAATCATAAATAATTTCAAAAAAATTAATAACTTCACTGTTATAAGGTATCACGTATATACTAAATTACTAAGACAAAATACTATATATAAAAAACATTTGAAGATTATTGACTTATCAAAACTAAATACGCAATACGCATCACATATTCACATACGTTACTATTTTTAGAATCATGGAAAAATCATTAACCTTATCAGTTATCACTATAAACTTAGATAGGCAGAATATAGCTAAAAACGCTGGTATCTATAGTCATGCAAATACCATAAACACAACGGTTGTTTTTACTTTTTAATCGCATTAATTATAAAATTATAACATCTGTCATCTACAATCTAGAATTCTATATTAACATGGTTACTATTATCCTATTAAAATATTCCAAATTATTCTGTATTATTCGCATACGAAAAATTACGTAGACAACCCACCCCACCCACCTCTAATTAAAGGTGTAGCAACCGCTACACCTCAACTATAGGATAGCCGCCACTGGATTGCATGTTAAGAATGACAAAAGTAAAATTAGATTTATTAACAGATATAGATCAAATATTGATGTTTGAATCTGGAATCAGAGGTGGCTTATCTCAATGCAGTCAAAGATATTCAAAAGCAAATAATAAATACATGGGAGATAAATTTAAAAAAAAGGATGAATCAATATTTTTAGAATACTTAGATGCAAATAATCTTTATGGTTGGGCAATGAGTAAATATTTACCTACTGGAGATTTCAAATGGATTGATAATCTGAATGATTTTGATGTAATGAATATTTCTGATAAATCATGTAAAGGTTATATTTTAGAAGTCGATTTATCTTACCCTAAAGAACTTCATGATCTACATTCAGATTTCCCTTTAGCACCAGAAAGACATTTTGATAACAAACAACTTCCAAAATTATTAACAACTTTGTATGATAAGAAAAAATATATAATACATTATGAAACACTAAAATTATATATTAATTTAGGTTTAAAGATAGAGAAAATTCATAGAGTATTAGAATTTAGTCAATCTCCTTGGTTAAAAGTTTATATTGATTTTAATACTAATCTTAGATCAGAAGCTAAGAATGAGTTTGAAAAAGAATTTTTCAAATTAATGAATAATAGTGTTTATGGACGTACTATGATGAATGTTCGAAATCATGTTGATATAAGATTATGTTCTAATGCATACCAACTAGAAAAATTAATTACAAAACCAAATTTTGATCGAAGAACAATTTTTACAGAAAATTTAGCTGCCGTACATATGAAAAGAACACAAATATCTTTCAAACAACCAATATATGTAGGAATGTGTATTTTAGATTTATCTAAAATGTTAATGTATGATTTTTATTATAATATTATAAAGAAAAAATATGGAAATAGAGTTAGATTGTTATACACAGATACAGATTCACCAATATTAGAAATAAAAACTAATGATTTTTATCAAGATATGAAAATTATGTTAGATCATTTTGACACATCAGATTATCCAAAAGATAATATTTATGGTTTACCTTTAGTTAACAAAAAAGTTTTAGGCAAGTTTAAAGATGAGTTAAATGGAAAAATAATGTCTGAATTTATAGGTTTAAGATCTAAATTATACTCTCATCGAATCTTAGATACTGAAAAAGAAATTAAAAAAGCTAAAGGTGTTAAAAAAAATGTTGTAGAAAATAAAATATGTTTTAATGATTTTGAAAAATGTTTACTAACAAAAGAATCAAAATATGTTAAACAAAATTTATTTAGAACTAAGAAACATGATATTTTTACTGTAGAACAAAACAAAAAAGCTTTAAGTGTTTATGATGATAAAAGATTTATTTTGGAAAATGGTATTGATACATTAGCTTGGGGACATTATAAAACAAACATAGATAGAAACGATTTTGTAAACCATCTCAATACACTGATTAGAAATCAAAATCAAAAAGATTAGAAAAATATTTTTAATAGAACAATGTTAAAAAAATTTTTTTTACTAATATAAATAATAGAAATGGAAAATTGTAAAAATCTTTTAGAAATGGAAAATTGTAAAAAACTTTTAGATATGATTCAAAAGTATAAAAATATACTAAAAGAGTTATCAGAAATTGAATCATCTATGTATAGTTTAGAAACTCATGTATCATCTTTATATCAATCTTATGATAATAAGTATAGTTACAATCGTTACCAAAAAAATTTTAAAAAATTATTTGGTTATTTTAAGGAAATTCATAATGAATTAGCGAATCATATAATGAATAATTGGTTTGAAAACTATATTTAATGTTCACTAGTTTGTTGTTAGACTTTTTTTAATAGAACAATTCTATTAAAAAATATTTTAATTATTATTACATTTCGATTTTAATTATTAATATCATAAGTATTATGAAAAATATTTTGGGGGGTGAAAATGTATTTAATAAGTTTTGCGAAAAATGTTTTTAATTATTATTGCATTTCGATTTTTATTTTTAATAATTAAGTTTTGCCGAAAATATTTTTATTATTATTGCATTTCGATTTTTATTTTTAATAATTAAGTTTTGTGGAAAATATTTTTATTATTATTGCATTTCATAAGTTTTGCGAAAAATTTTTTTAATTATTATTGCATTTCAATTTTCTGATCTTTTTGCACATTGTTTTCTTTGTGATCTTTTACTGATATATTATGAGGTGCGCCAGGACTGGTATATATATACTACT